TTCAGGTAGTGCTTCGGAATCAGAATCTTCATTATCAGATGATTCAGCAGATGCTTCTGCCATATTTGAGGGGTCTTCTGTTATTTCATCAGCCGATATTTGATTTACATTCAGAGGTTCTTCCTTCTTTTTATCAGGAATATTTTCGAGAAATAAAACTTCTAAATCTTTATCATAATTAGTACAGTTTTCAAATTCATCAATGAATCTAACATCTCGGCTTATAACGATTTTTCTGGAATTTTTATTCCACAGCCTGTATGCTTTCGATTCATTTGAGTATCCTACAAATATATGTTCTTCTGATCGAGGATCGAATTTCCCTTTAGACCTTTTATTAAGTACAAAACATTTCTGTCCGAATACTTTGAAGTGAGATACAGTTGGCTTGATGCCAAAAAATAATTCATAAGGTGTTTTGTTTACTCCCAGGCTTCGATTCGGGCAACGATTACGAATATAAACAGCACAGTTCAAGGCTTCAGCCCAAAAGGATTGGGGAAGATTACTTTGTAGTAACAAACATCTGGCCATTTCAGTTAAAGTGCGGTTCATGCGTTCAGCTCTCGAATTCTGTTGAGGAGTCATTGGTGCAGAGAATTCTCGTTTAATCCCGCATTCTTGAATATATTTATTAAATTCTTCTCCGCGATATTCGAGACCGTTATCAGTCCGAAGGATTTTTATTTTCTTTCCTAGACGATTTTCGACCGCAGCTTTGTATTTAATGAATGCATTTTTCACTTCATCTTTAGTTTTAAGAAAACTGACTTCGACATAACGCGATTTGTCGTCTATGAAAGTAACAAAATAACGCGAACCAGCATGGGATGGGACTCTCATAGGTCCACACAAATCTGAGTGAATCAAGTTCAGTAATTCATCACTTTGAAATTTTGATTCTTTTTGAAAAGGTTGCACAGTTTGTTTACCTCGGATACAGACTTTGCAGTCTTTTAGAGATTCAGTGTTATTAAAATTTAAATTTCTAACCATGTTATCAGACTTAAGTCTTTTCAAATCAGACTCATTTAAATGACCTAATTTAAGATGCCACTTTACAAAATCACTTACCTGTGCTATTGCAGCTGTTTCAGTGCTTGGATGTATATAATAAAGATCACCATGACGAATAGCCTGCACTAGTATAGATCCATTTGGTTCTATTATTCTAGCATGTCGTTCTGTAAAAATCACTGAACGATTATTTGCAGTAGCTTTAGATGTTGACAGCAAATTACATTTTAATTCCGGAACACATAACACATTTTTGAGCGTAAGTTTAATTGTCTTATTTCCGTTAGGTACTGTTATAAGGACAGTTCCAATTCCTGTAATTTTTGCTGTTTTGTCAACTGCTAACTTTATGGTTGAATTCGTTCGAGGGTGAAATTCTGAAAATAACCTTCTGTCATTGCACATGTGAGATGTACAGCCACTATCTAAGCACCATGAGGAGGTCTTCTGATAAGCATTGTTTACTGCTAAACTAATCTGCTCTTCATAATTAGAAGCCATCATAGAACCTTGATTTCCCTTATTTGATTGTGCATATTTTCTATCAGCTATTTTCTTTCTGCATTCAGATGCCTTGTGCCCAATTTTCGAACAGTAATTACACTTCAAGTTTCGAAAATTTCTTTCAGCTGGAAAATTTTTGTTTGAATTTACCTTCCATTTTTCATTTTTCTTCTGTTCTTGATTTCTTCTTTTATAATCAGTATAGTATGCATTCTGTGAATCTTGAGATGTTTTCCCTTTTCTTGCTTCCCATTCTTCTAACATTTTGATTTTCAAAGATTCGGGACTAGGTAACTGATCTCTTGATTCGATGGCGCATCTAAAATTTTCAAAATTTTCTGGAATACTATAGAGCAGAAGAATCGATAAATAAATCATCAGCTATGTCAATTTCCATTTGTTTAAGCTTATCAACTATTTCGAAGAAATTATTCAAATGTTCAGACATCGTTTCGCTTTCCACCATTTTTCTAAATAAAAGCTGTTTTAATAATGTAGCCTTCTTCGCAGGTCCTTTCGATTCATATACGGCTTTGAGTTTATTCCACACAGCATTTGATGTCACACAATGCTTTATATGACACAGTTCACTAGGATTAATAGCAAGAATTATATCTGCGCGAGCTTTTTGATCAGCTTGGAGCCATTTCTTTTCGTCTTCGGTTCCTTCAGCAGGTTTTAGCACTTTACCGGTTACATAATCCCAATGGTCGTTTTTAATCAATACTGCTTCTATTTGTAATTTCCAACTGTCAAAATTATCTTTTCCGAGCTTTTCTATAGTAGTCAAATGCGACATAATGTAATACAGTCTCTCACACAGCCAAAAAAACAAGATTGAGCGCTATAAAAATAGGCTTAACTGAACGCTGATCAGTTCTTACCGTTGATTAGACGTAACAGTTCTTGCACTGAATTAGGCTTAAGAGTTCAATGCTCGAAAACTTCAAAATGTTCATTTTAAAATAAGTATTTTGCTAATTTGGCACAGTTGAAACGTTCCTGGGCCCATAACCATTGAAGAAATAAATAAGCCTAAATAGATTGTAATATCAATGAACATTTTTAATGACAGAGATTAACTTAAACATAGTTGCGTACAGCAGAGCAAAAAAGGCTAAGAAGTAAGAATGGTATACATATACATACATACGTAATAAACAGTTACGTCATCATTCATCACCGCGCGGATAAACGCGAACGGCGCATGCGTCAGGAGAAGCTCTCTTAAGCTAAACGTCGTATTATAATTTATGATACAACAGCACATGCCCAATTGAAATTTAACATCAGTTAAAGCGAAAAAAAAACGTTCGTTTACATTTAAAGCCAGCTGTGAATAGTAAAATTGAGGAAATGAATTTTTTAAATGGGAGAAATATATATTTTTTGTCTAAAGAAATGTATTTTTTAAGACAAAAATGAGAGAATTACATATATTATTCTATTGGTGAAGAAAATTAGAAGATTAAGCACATTTACTATTATTATAAAAAAATATTGGTAATGATTCATTTAAAATATGCTCAAGCAAGAAATGACTTGTGAAGTTCTCCCAGAAGTTGTTAAGCTTTTCACTGACATCTAACAACAATCCGAGTTTCATAATCGTTTGCAAACAAATTCGTTCTTAATAAGAAAACAAGTTTTACTTTGGTGATTTTTAAGAGTGGCAAATGGAGAAATGAGGAAGGGACATGCATTAAATTTGGTTTCCGGATAGAGTTTGTGCAACAAAAACGTTTAAAATACTCCAAGAAGCTTTCGAGGACAATAAATCATCCAAAAAAAAAAAAAAAAAAGAGGAGTGATATTAGATGTTTAAAGAAGGCAGAAAATGAGATAAAGATAGATTCAGCTCCCGTAGACTGTCCACTTCAACTAATGCGAAACACGTCCATCAAGTCAGAATTTGGGACTTTAATTACCGTCATTAAAAATTAGGGATGTTACTCAACAAGTTCCTGTAACATTCCTGTCAAACAATTTTATAATCGTTTTTCGAAATGTTTAAAAAAAGTCTGAATATTTTCCCAAAACAGCAACGAGTTAAAATGGCTCAGAAGATACTTTTCCAATGTTAGTCGGCAGGTGCGAGATTAAGCAATTCTTTCTTCCAAAATACGCGTGATGTCTGTGAGTCATGAATCTGTAATGCGAGCTTGCCCTTTTGCGCCCACTATGGTGCTTAACTCAAATGCAAGCTGACCTCGTTCATGATCATCAAGGCATTATGACAAGTGATGAAACATGGAGCTACAATTTTTATACAGGAAAAGCACAAAGAAAGATGAAGCAAAAACGACCACGCTACAGTCAGTCAGAAATTTAAGTAATGTCTTCAGTCTTCGTGATACTGCGCTTCGTGAATTTTTACTAATTAATTAGGTTAGGTATTTAAATACGGCAAAGCATACCACGATCATCTGCCTAAGAAAACTAAAGCCTACGTAGGAGACATTATGAGAGAAACTGGCTAGTATTCCCCTCATACATGAGGAAATTCACGAGAAACCGCCATGCTTTGAGCCTGATGACGAGTTTTGAGTCCTGGCCTAACTGAATGAAACCTCGCATCACAATCGTCTCATTTCAAGAACAATTCGGTTCACGAACACGTTAACTGAACAAAAAACGTTTAAAATGGAGGACAGAGTCTGAGATTGCGAACTCACAGGTCGGTAACTAAAGATTTTCAAATGTGTTTCGAGATAATCTCTGCCCCATAATTAACATTCACCGGCTTCTGGAAGTATCATTCTAATATGTTCTGCTACTTAACACCACAGTCTACCAGTTAATGACTTACATTATGAAGAATTCAACCGAAAGGAAATTATGGGCAGATTAGGCAAAGATTTGGAGTGCTTTGACACTTAAGAGGAGGTTTTTGTTATTTATGATACCGTATTCTTAGGCAAAACCATGTGCTAAGAAATTAACAGTGAAGACTTTAAGTTAATTACTAGACGATGATAATGATCTTCGAGTGGTACAAACACAGGAGTATCTGGTCAGAAACACAGGAATATCTGGTCTGTGGCGACCTACGTTAGTCTAAGTGCATTAGTCACATGGGAGCTCCTAAAATATACACTTGTTGACCACATTAGTGTATTCATTCCATTGAAGGTGAATGTAATAAATATTGGTCATTAATAAGGCTCCTCTAGACTGTAGGCTCTTAGTATATAGGAGCTTTAGTCATTAACATGAAAATCTTACATTTTATGGTATCATTACCGATACTTCTTTGGTCATGTTAATAGAAAAATCTGAGGGCTTTATTGTTCTAAGTTTAAATTCCATCCAATTCTAATACACTGTAAGTTGATCACAAAAGGGCAGTTAGGTAAATTTTAAAAATTAATTTGAAAATTAAATATTTCACAAATTGAAAACTATTATTTGGCCTTTAAAATAATAATAATTCTCTATCTTGTGTTCACTTTTAAAAATTGGCAACAGTTTTGCTGTGTTTGGTTTTGTGTGTGTAAACAGCAGAGCGAATCTATTAATTTTCTATTAAAAATTCTTGAAGCTGTTACCTTATACTTCTCAATGAAATGTATTAGGTCATTTTGTTTGAAATGAACGTCTATCGGCATGACAGAATCAGAAACTCATACGAATTTATCATGGAGGAGATTGCATCTAAGTCGAGCAAAACTGAAAGCTTCTAGCAGAACGTCTGCACTTCTTTCCGGTTTTGCTATGGTAAGTAATGCAATTTAAAGCAAAATATTAGAAAACAGTAGTTCAATATTTTTTTTAATTCTGTATCCCAAATCACCCTTCCATGATTAGTCTGAATAAGTAAATTTTACTCTACCATGCATGTGTATAAATTTCGTTTTGTGTAATATATATTATACATAAGAATTATTCTCTTACCTTTTAAGTGAAGTTTCAACTTAATGTTTATCAAGTATTATATTAATCGATTATAAGAGATTCGTGCTTTTGCATTCTTAGCATTTGAGAAATTGCTGTAAAAAATATTGTGCATCATTTTGTAATGTTTGTTAGATATTTCAGCCACCTACCCGCCAAATCAGCCTTGGTTTTAAGTCAGCATTATCTTTTTTTCAATACTTCCTAAATGCCCTGGTTTGTTGGATGACATAACAAAGTCATGTTAGGAGAGAGAAAAGGTAAAAGTTTACAATTGGGTGCCCCTTGTTTTTTTGGAGATTCTTTTTTGACGGCAAGATCGGCGACAGGAAGACGCAATTTCAAGATGGCCACTACACAAAACTGCTCTAATGTAGAATTGGGTGCCCCTTCGATTAGTGAAAAATTTTGTTCAGTTTTGGCAATGAAATTCCATTTCTGGTTACCGTGATAATTTGAACTTTGTTTTAGCTTCCTGAATTTTTTTAAGTGAAAATAGATCAACGTGTACATGGACACAGAGTTTGTTCAATTCTTTGACTTCTAATTTTGGTTTTGTGGGTAAAAGTATAGTTTAGGGTACCCCTTGGCGATTTTTGGCGGTACATGGATACCGATTTTGTGCAATGCTTTGACTTGTTATTTTGGTTTGCGAAGCGGCGATTTTTGCCTCGGCTTATTTTCACTTAAAAAAAAACCCTCCAAATCGCACAAAAATAGCATTGCGCACTCTTTTGACTTTATCTGTGTACACGTCGACCTATTTTCACTTTAACAAAAATCCCCAAATTGCACAAAAATTGCATTGCGCACTCTTTTAACTTTATCCATGTACACATCGACCTATTTTCACTTAAAAAAAAATCCCAGAAGTGCACAAACTGGCATTGCACACTCCCTTTACTTTGTCTATGTACACATCAATATATTTTCACTTAAAAAGTCAAAGGAGCACCAAAGTCTACAATATAGGCAAACAAAAAATACATAATCTCAATAAAATGCATTTTAAACCAAAACAATAAAATAACATAAAAAAGGAAAAACAGTTATACATTTAAGCACTACCAAAAGCAAATATTCACTTACCATGATTTTCGAGTTCGCTTCGTACACCCAGAGCCACGTAAAAATCAAAATATCAATCATACTCAAATGACTTTTTTCAAACCAGGTACTCTTTCTGATCGAATGCTTCACATAGTGACCATCTGAACCTTTCTTCCTACAAATCCATTCAAATCCATCTAATTCTAAACGGTTTTAACACACACTACAAAAACGCTTACAAAACATCCCATGATTCAAAATTTCCCAGAACCATGCACCCGATTACGTCACAATAGGGTTTCCATAACATTCAACTACTCAGGCTACCATAAATGAAACAACAACTTGGCGATAAATCAAACAGCAGCTTTGCCATAATACAAGTCTACTCTATCCATTGATTTTTAATATTTTGGGCCCCCTTCATATTTTACATACATAAATACTTTATATTTTACTGGATGCTCTTTCACTTTGCTACTATTTCATTTGCCATATTCAGCTGATCATTTCCTGCCCATTAATACACTCTGTTTTTGATGTCAGGGTCTCAAACCCTTGAAAATAACCATTGCTTGCTGTTCAGTAGAAGGCTAGTCACAAATTTTAATAATTATTTCAAAATGCAAGAAAAAAATATTTTGATTATGTTACGTTAATTTGTATCCTTGTTCCTAAAAGCAAATATGGCTTAGCGAGAGTGAATTAGAGTTAGATTTAATAAAAGCAGTTGATGTTATGTGTGCTTAGATTATTCTTATCCATGCTTGGTAACAGTTTCATGGTCAGGGGGATAATCTGTAAATACCTAAATTTGATCTGCAGCTAGACCCTCTTTTCCAGTTAATCTGTAGAAATTTTCCTGATTTATGAAAAGCAACAGCCATTTTGAAAATGGCAATAAATTAATAAATTCTGTAAAAAAGCAATAAATTAATAAAATTAAAAAAGCTAGAAGCATCCCTAACAGAACCTTTGTGAATAAATCCTAATTTCTTTTTATGCTGCTGTCTTGTACATTCAATGCAGAACTTAAATTGCACCGGAGCATGGCTCCAGTACTTCTCAGTTTCTGAGGTAAATCGTGATTGTAGCCGGAGTGCTCCGGAACCCTAAATAAAAGGGTACTGATGCTTCTTTTATGTAACTAACACACAGTTTTTAGCAATTAAACAAATTTGTTTTAAAAATATTATTAAAAATATGCTTTAAAAATTGATTATAACTTCCAAATGCATGCATGTCTTTCTATCATGAACAAACACTTTGACGGAAACTAAGACTTTTAAGGAAAGAAAAGCCTCCATCCACATGTCCTTATTCTCCAGGTAGTGCAATGAATTTATGAGCAGGTAAAATGTTTTGTTTCTGAAAGTATTGAACATGATTACCTTAGTCTTGCATGTTCAGTGCTAGTGACTTCTCACATAAGAGCTCCTGCAGGCTTTAACTAAATAACCCAGTATGGGGCAAAATTATCAGTTGTGCAAAAAAACCTAACTTTTGTTCTCATGTTGTTATTGGATCGGATTCGAGGGAAATTTCTTTGCCCAGTCAAATGCTGCTTAAGAGCTAGAATGATATTGGCAGGGCATCGGGGTCAGAAATCCTTGGCTTTAAAAACTCTGTTTTCGAAGCTTCAGTTCTCCATTAAAATTTCTTTCCATACTCTCATATTGATTCTAGTATCCTTTCTATTCTCATTAGTGATGCTTTAATGGTTTTACTTTTTTTCATTAGTGTGTTGGAAAAAAAATTGTTTTTGTTTCTCTCGTCTCTTGAAAGTACATTATACCCTATATTCAGGAACTTAAATTCAACTGGAGGCCGGCTGAACTAGCTCTTCTGAAACTTTTAAGTCCAGCCGGAACCCCAAAATAGGACAAGTTTTGATATTTTATTTCTTTTATTTAACTATTTGTCACGAGAAATAAATTTACTAAATTTTTATTTATATTTTATTCCATTTTAATTTTAATTTATTTATTTAATTATTTTAGTTATTATACATTTTATTATTTTATTAGTTACTTTTAGTCCAAAGGAGCTTTTCCCTGAAGGGCTATTGTTTTTGTTTTGTGATTTTCCGTCGGAACCCTGTAAATGTTCAAAATTTGAAAAGCTGTATCGCTTTTCAAATCATTGCCACCAAATACTATCGCCCTGTATTATATTTGAAGAAATTAAATAATGAAGAATCTGCATAAATATATGTATGTTTCTCGAATTGTGATAAAACAACAGTACCTGGAGCCATCCACTTTTGAAAGACGTAAACCTACTGCGAATATGGGCAACTGCTGAAAAGCAGTTGCCTATATTCAGTTTGAAAGCCGAAATTTGTTTTATTATCGATCTCATAATTTGTAAAACTTTAACGAATTTTTATTAACAAACTCAACGATTTAAAAGCGAGCAATTGCAACACTCTACGGAGAAAAAAAGAAACTTTTTATCTCCAGCATGCGGAAATTCTAAAAATATGCTCATTTTAAAATTATTTTGCGGCATTGCTGTTGAACTAAATTTTATGGTTTAAGTACGAAGAACATGATATTTAATAAATAAAGGTAACAAAGACATTAAAAAAACACCATTAGACATAATTTAAAATCTGAAACTTTTCAGATTTTTTATTTTTTCTCTTCTTCATGACGGCTTTAAGCCACTGGGTTCCCGGCACTTCTGGTTTTAGAAATTAAGCTCTGACTCAATGATCTGCTTACATTTCAAAAGTCATCAAGGAAATGTACAGATTTTGTGCTGCATACAGTCTTTTTCTCCCATGTGTGCAGCAAAGTGTTTTTGACTTAAAAAAAAATAAAATAAAATGATTAAATTTTATGGATCTAAGTTTATTTTGATCCATAAAATTTAATCATTTATGAAGAAATGTGAATTTTTACATTCTGTACTGTTGAATGAAATGCCTTATTTCTGAAGAAATACAATGCTTTGTTTTTTGTCAGGCAGGAAACTTCATAATCACATTATGATTTCTCACTAGATAAAAATACAATGCTTTGTTTTTTGTCAGGCAGGAAACTTCAAAATCACATTATGATTTCTCACTAGATAAAAATACACGTAATTGAACAGAAGCAAACACTAATGATTGTGAAATTTGAAGGTGAAAATCGCTGTTTATCTGCTGTGTGCATGTACATGGTTTGCCACTTACATTTTGGCAATAGCATTGGTGGCTTATTTTGGTGATACAGCACCTAACTACTTTTCAGAGGAGTGTGAATAATCAGAAAGTACCATATTATAAGTAAGCAGATAGTTTTCTGTGTCACAAACTTTTGATACTAAGTCTGATGCCGTAGTGCTTATTAAAGTTATCAAGCCAGCCAACACTAGCAGTAAATCAGGCTCTTCTTGAAATTTCTCATAGAATTTAAGGTTTTCCTCTCAAGAAATGGTAGCTGAAAGAGGTGTTTCTTTTTACCCCATTTGCTGCTCAAGCCACAAATAAAGCATCTTACTGTCTTCTCATACTTTTCCTTTTCTTCACACCCCAAAACTCAGTTTCACATCTTTTCTTTTTCCAGCCTATTATAGTAGTTCATTCAATACCTAAACCCATGAAAATTTCATGAATACTGTGTTCTTTGCCAAGTATCTTTGAGGCAACCATTTTCGTTGTCATCACAATTTTGTTTTCATTACTTCCCGGTCATCATTTTTATTTGCACAGACAACAGAACACTTATAAGCCTGAATGTAAACTAAGAAATTGTACCGAAAATGAAATTATAGTTTAGCTTACA